TACAATTCTTGCATAATCATTATTATTTTTTGATGTAGAAATATCTGAATGTTCATTTACAATTTCTGAATCATATTTATTATTATCAGTATATACATTTTCTTCTTTATTTTTGTTTTGACTAGAGTCAGTTTGTAATAAATAATCTTCTTTTTCATTTTTAGTTGTTTCAATAGTATTTAATGTAGACATTATATTCTTATTCTCAATTTTATTAAATTCACAATGTATTTCTGCTATTTTCAAGTTTGTTCTATTTTCTTCTGTTTTATCATTTATATTTGTTTTATTATATTCAATTTCCTTTGTTTCAGTTATTGTTTCACTAACCATTATATCATTTTTTTCTTCATTATTTTCTAGGATAGATAAATTGTTATCAATAAATAACTTTCGTGAAACATTATTCTTCTTCAGGTCTTGCATATATTTTATGTTCATATATTCTTTATCTACATTTTCTTTATTAATTTCTCTAATTTCGTCTTCTGAATCAGAGGATTTATAAAATATTTCTGCTTCTTTTTCTTTTTCTTTTAAAACTTCACTGTTAAAAAAAAATCTTAAATCTTTACTGAATTTAATAAATAATTAAATTATAAAAAATACTTACTCAACAATAATAGAAGACATTTTTAATTTAGCTGCCATTGTAGGTGCTTTTGGAAGAGCTGTTATTACTTTTTTTCTGTTTAAAAATTCTTGCAATGTTCGTTGTTTTGGTTTATGATATGGAAGTGAAATCTCTGTTTCTCGAATCAAACGTTGAGTTTCACTGTGTATTTGTTTCATAGCTTCTTCTTTAGAAGCTCTTAATGAAACCTACAATATAATATTACTTTTATGAACTTTATAAATATTAGGTTGTTTGGAAAATAATTTTATTTTTTTCATAACAAAATAAATGAAAAAATGAAATTACTTTCCAAACAATCTAATAATAATTATCTAATATTCAAAAATATTGTTATCTTAAAATAATAATTTTATATGTTATTTAATTTTTGAAACATTTTAATATATTGCAACTTACTTTCCTCACTTTAGAATATTTTTCTTTGCCTTTTTTAGTTTTACCATGTTTTATTGGATTTAATGGTTCTTTGTCATCTTGTCTTTCTTCATCTGATTCTGAATCTATTAAAGTTTGAAATTTGTTTTTTATCTGTGAAATGTAATTATTTAATAATTATAAATTACTTATTTAATAATTAAATTATATATATTTTATAATTATTACTTACATTATTTGTAATTTTTTTTTATTTGAAATTATTTCTTCAGTATCAGTTTGATTAAGAATATTATCATTTGTATCACTGTCAAATAATTTCATAATATTATCTTTATTTTTTAAATGACTTTTATCATATTCAGAACTAGACATTTCATCTTCTGATTTATTATAAGTAGACTTATTTTTATTGGAATTAAAAGTAAATATTTCTTCTTCTGAATCACTATCTATTATCCTGGATAATCTATTGTAGATATCATTGTTTTCAGGTTTATTATTTGTTTGATCAGATTCTACATTTTTTTCTTTTATAGTTTTATTAACTATGTTAATTTCATTATCAGAATAGTTATTAATTTCATTTTTATGTTCATTATTTTTTTGATCAAACTTATTTTCTTCTGTAGTTTTATTACGTATTTCATTATCATTGTCAAATTTATCATTTGTTTCTATCAAAATTTTATTAAATGTATTATTTATATCACTATTAGAGAAATTTTTCATATTAAAAAATTTATTTTCCTCTTTTTTTGTAATATCTTCTGATTTCTTAACATTTTCTGATTCTTTAAATTCACATTGTACATTACATTTATTATTGTCAGCATTATTATCATTATTCAAATCATAATTTTTATTCATTGTTAAAATTTTAATTTCTTATTTACTACGTTTGATATTTAATATTTAATATTTGATATTTACTATGTTAACATTTATTACGAAAACATGAAATTATAATGTATCTATTTTTTTTTTATAAATTATTTTTTTAAAAATGTAATTATATGTAATAATTATTAAAATTTAGTTGAAAACTATATTTTTTTTTAAATTTATTCACAGTATTAAAATTGTACTATATTATGCAACATACAACAAAATTACATACTTATAACAAACTACAAATGGTTCTTAAGCACTTACATATGTACTATCTATTTTGATCAACAAATTTGGCGCGAAAACATCAAAAATATTAATTTATCTTAAATTATCTATTATAGATGGCAGCAATATCATTTCAATTCATACATTCTTTTTCTTTTTTTTTTAAATATTGACTTCTGTATTATTATTGATAACTATTTATATATAATATGATATTTAATGGATTATTTTATAATTATTTGAAATAATTATATTTGAAATGTAATAATATCATTTATGGTTTATACAAAATTTATATTTTTATTCACTAATTTTAAATGATATTATATTGTGATGTTTATTGTAATAAATTAAAAAAATACTTTAATAAACAATAAATAAAAAATCTCATTACATTTATTATATAGATAAAATTATTATCTAGGGAATCATTTTGACTTCATCAAATTACTAGATTACATAGTCTCGAGAAAGCATTTAAAGACCTTTCAAGTTATTATAAGTTCTCGGTTGACAATAGTTGGTCGATAGATCAAATTGTTGACGTATTTTTTTGATAGTTTGAGGCTACGTCATTATCGAAGGAAGTATTGTATTTGTATGTTTTCTAAATTATATATTGCATATTGTTTTTAATAATGAAATATAATATTATATAAGATATCTTTTAAGATTTTTTTATTTTTAGGCATGGTTACAATGGGCGAACCCCTTACATTAGCGAATGGTAAATTTTTTTAAAATTGTTTAAAAAATAAATATATATATACACAAATATAATTTTATAATAGATAAGATGAATATGATATATGATGATTTATTGTTTAAGATTTATTTCTTATTAAATTTCTTATTTTTATTTGCAGATGTTAAACGATCTATTGAATTATTAGACAAATTACAAAAAGGTAATTGATTAAATACATTTTAATTACAAAATATAATAGTAAGAAATAAGAACATTGTATGAAATATTATTGCAAAAATTACTTGTTTATGTAGGTCTTCATAATGGTCATTCCTTCATAATGTTCTTGGTTTAATTTACTTTCATATGTAAATCATGTACGTGATTTTATTTTGTAATAAATTTTTATCTAATAATCATAATTTTAATATTATTAACTATAGAATTTAATTATTATTAATTATTATAATAATAATTATTATTATTAATTATATTAACTAGAATTTTTTTAGGTGGTGAAGTACCTGCAACAAAATTAGCTGCTTTACAAAAAGTATTGCAAAGTGATTTTCTTAGTGCTGTACGTGAAGTATATGAACATGTATATGAAACTGTGGATATTCAGGTATAATATATTGTAACATCTTACTATTATATTATTATATTAATTATATATAATTATATATAATTTATTTAATTTTTTATTTTTATCAATATTAATCAGACAGATAGATAATTTTGTAAAGATAAATTGTGTAATAAGTAATAAAATTATTATAACTGAAAATAAAAAAGAAAGAAAATAAATATAACATATATTGATAAAATAGAGTTAATAAAATAATGATTAAGACTATGATATTAAGAATAAGAAATTTATAATTTTATCAATTAATAATTTTAGGGATCTCAAGATGTTCGTGCATCAGCTACAGCAAAAGCAACAGTTGCTGCTTTTGCAGCAAGTGAAGGTCATGCACATCCACGAGTAGTGGAATTACCAAAAACTGAGGAAGGTCTTGGTTTTAATGTAATGGGGGGTAAAGAACAAAATTCGCCAATTTATATTTCACGAATTATTCCTGGTGGTGTTGCTGACCGTCATGGTGGTTTAAAACGCGGTGATCAACTTCTTTCAGTTAATGGAGTGGTTAGAATTGTTTTTGTTTCTTCATTTTATCAATATATTAATATCAAAAATGAGTTCATATATAGTAAAAAAAAAAAAATATAAATAAAAAAATTCTATTTACAAAATTGTGTTTACAATTTATCTTTGTATCTAATATCATTATATAACATTTTTTAAATAAGAAAAACCTAACATTATTCGATATTGTATAATAATGATATTAAAATTTATATTAAATTTGTTTTTTTTTTTCAGTGTGTCGAAGGAGAAAATCATGAAAAGGCAGTAGAATTATTAAAACAAGCTCAGAATTCAGTGAAATTGGTTGTACGATATACTCCACGTGTTTTGGAAGAAATGGAATTACGATTTGATAAACAAAGAGCTGCACGTAGGCGTCAGCATATGCAATAAAAGTAAAAGTTATTATATTCATTACTTTTTTTCAATAAATTAATCATATATATGTATACATATTAATATTGTTTTAATTTTATCTTCATTTTATATTATAAAATTTTTCATCTAATGACTTTTATGAAAATAAGACTTAAATTTAATAATACTTTATAATTATTTAATAGATTTAAATTTAATATACTTTGTAATTATTGTAACTATTGCTACTTTTTATGTTTTAAAAAAATATATTGTGTATAAATGTTATATAGTTTTAAGAAATAAATTTGAAAAATAAGATAAAATCTGTTTTTCTTTTATTTATTTACTATTTAATCCAAATATTACATATGAAACACTTAATAAAATTAATTTTTTTAATGAATCTCAATTTTTTTTATTGAATCCTAATTGTTACAAAATTAAAAATGATTAATAACTATTAATATCATTTTGATAATTTTATATAATATTTTATATATTATACATGTTATTACGCTATATAATATAATAAAAATAGTAAATAATAGTAAAAAATAACGAAAGTATGAGAAGTACAATTCATACTTTCCCTCTTTTCAATATTACGTTTTAGTTATATAAATTAGTACTATCTGCAAATAAATTTCATATATAATTTTTTACGTATATTTTATACATAATCATTAGGTATAAAAAAATCATTTAGTATAAAAAAACTTAATATATTTTTATAAGAAGAATTTATACATATATAATGAATTGTTATTGGTTAGTTAACGAATTCTTATCTGAATAACAATATACTTTATGTTTTTCAATATTAATGTAAGAAACAAGATTCTAAGTAAAATTCCATGAACTTTAACCTTTTGTTTTGCATACTCATTGTAAGACATTTATATATAAGTTCAGATCGATTTAAACTCTCCGTTTTTAATTTATTTTGATCAGTATTGAATTTGTTATCATGGGAGAAGAAAAATTATCTTTCGTCGATCGAGTTGTTGTAATAACTGGAGCTGGAGCAGGTAATTTTTATTTTCTAATCTACCATATATAATTAATTTTCTTTATATTTCAATTTTTTTCTAGGTTTGGGTCGTACATATGCCTTACTTTTTGCTTCAAGAGGTGCTAGTGTTGTCGTAAATGATTTAGGTGGAAGTAAAGATGGTGATGGAAGTAGTACTAAAATTGCAGATTCAGTTGTCAATGAAATTCGAAAAAATGGTAAGACAATATATTGGAATTGATTTATATATTCATATGCAACTGAATGCATTATAAATATATATCTTTCAATATATATCATATATAAAATTATAATATTTTCAATACAAATAATAATCTATGTATATAAATTGTATATTCTAAAATATATATCGTATAAAATTCTGAAATTATATAAAAAATTTATTTTAGTATATATTAATAATTATTTTATAATTAAAAAAATATTGTATTATAAATTAATACTAGGTGGCAGAGCAGTGGCTAATTATGATTCTGTTCTTGATGGTGAAAAAATTGTTAAAACAGCTATTGATGCATTTGGACGAATAGATATACTTGTTAATAATGCTGGAATTTTAAGAGATAAATCTTTTGCTAAAATGCTAGAGAGTGATTGGGGTATGTTATATTGTTATATTGTTATATTGTCAATTAAATTGTTATTTCTCTAGATTAAAATAAAAAGTTATATTTAATTTTAGATTTGATACAAAATGTTCATTTAAAAGGAGCTTTTAAAACAACTCAAGCTGCTTGGCCTTATTTTGTTAAACAAAAATATGGTAGAATAATTATGACAGCAAGTAATAGTGGCATATATGGAAATTTTGGTCAAGCTAATTATAGCGCAGCAAAAATGGGTCTTATTGGTTTGACTAATACATTAGCTATCGAAGGCAAGCAAAAAAACATACATACAAATGTAATAATACCAACAGCAGCATCTCGTTTAACAGAAGATATTTTACCACCAGGTATATATAAGATATAATATTTAAAATTTATTATATTTAAATACACTAATTTTGTCAATTTTGCCTGTTTTGTAGATTTCTTTAAAGAATTAAAACCTGAATTAATAGCTCCTGTAGTAGTTTGGTTGTGTCATGAAAAATGTATGGAAAATGGTTCTATTATTGAATCTGCATTGGGTTGGGCAGGCAAATGTAAGTACAAATGATTTATATTTCTATACATATATGAATAATAAAGATTTTAAATAAAGATTTACTGAAATAGTTTTATTATGATCTAACAGGAAAATTGCAAAATTATAAAAAATTATAAAAAAAATCATTACTAGTTAAAATCTAAAAAAATGGATAATTCCTGGATAATTATTATTAAAAGATATAAAACATTTTATATAAAATATAGATATAAAATATTATAAATATACATAAAAACATATATGTAATTTTTAATGGAAAATATAATTTTGAAAGAATTTTTTAGTAATATTAAATATTTATTTCTAGGTCATATAATTCGTTCATCAGGATCCACATTAAGACAAGATTTATCAAGCGAAGTCACTCCTGAAGATGTTGAAAACAAATGGCAAGCTATCACTGATATGTCAAATGCTAAACATTTTAATTCTATTGAGGTGCATATAATTTTTTATTATATATAAAATTATATATAATTTTATTTTATTTTATTTTATTATCTTATTTATAAATAATTTATTGCTCGATAAAATATTAAATTCCTTATATTTTGTAGGAAGTAACAGGAGAATTCATGACTACAATTGAATCAACGAAATCCGAGAATTCTCAAACTTCTGAATCACAAGTAATTAAGATAATTATTTTAATAAATTACTTAAAATTAAATGCTATTATGTTTTATTATAAATTTTTTTTTTCTTAGAACAGTGACGTCCTTAGACATACTTACAATTACCGGGATACTATATTATATGCATTAGGAGGTACAATTATTATTAAATTTTAATTATAATTACGTTAATAGTTGATTAAAAATTATATTATGCTTTATTAACTAAAGAAGTAGAATGAATTTAAAAATATAAATTTAAAATACAAATATAATTTTTGCTTCAGTCGGCGCCTCTGTTCAAACACCAACTGATTTTCGTTATTTATATGAAAATGACAGCAATTTTGCTGTATTGCCTACATTTTACGTTGTGTATGCTCCAATGGTTGCTTTGGAATTTTCCATGTACGAAAAGTTTTTACCACATATTGAATTGGATCCAACAAAGGTAATTTATTTTATATAATATCTTTAAATAATATTTAACAAATTTATTATATATTTAGATTTTACATGGAGAACAATATATTGAAGTTTATAAACAATTACCAACAGAAGCTACAGTGGAAACACGTTACAAAATTGTGGATGTAGTAGATAAGGGAAAAGGTGCCTTAGTTGTAATACAACGTACGTGAATATCATTTTTATAAATAATATTATTTTATGTAAAATAAAACTAAAATATTTATTTTTTTGCAGATGATACATTTGATACTAGTAATGAAGATAAATTATCTACAGGCCAAATGATAATATTTGTAATAGGAGCTGGTAATTTTGAAGGAAAACGAACATCTTCATATATTATACCAACTATTGAATCTCCAAATAGAGAACCAGATACATCGATTACTCAACAAACAAGTCAAGATCAAGTAAGATATCATATATTCAATTTGTTTGAATTTGTTAATTTGAAATTATATTTTCGAATAATTTTAAACAGTTTCTGAAAAAAAAGAATATTTTTTTTTAATCATTTTTAATTTTCTAATTGATCTCATTTTTGAATTTTTAGGCTGCTTTATACAGATTAAGTGGTGATCAAAATCCTTTACACATTGATTCAAATATGTCAATGATAGCTGGCTTTAAACAACCAATTCTACATGGATTATGTACACTTGGATTTTCCGTTCGCCATATTCTTCAAACTTATGCTGGTGGTGATTCAAGTCTCTTTAAAGCTGTAAAGGTTAGTTTATAGATATTTATATCATCAATCAATATCATTTTTATATATTTATTATAAGATTTTATAATAATAGTTATGTAAAATACACAATACATACAGTTTAATTATCTTTTTTATTTTATAACATTTATACAGTAAAAAAATCAAAATTATATGTGTGTAAATGAATTTTATATAAATTAAGGTATTTTATATAAATTAATTTACTTAATGAATATCACAGACACGTTTTGCAAAACCAGTAATCCCAGGTCAAACATTACGAACGGATATGTGGCAAGAAGGTAATAGAATACATTTTCAAACACATACTGTGGAAGAAAATATATTAGTTTTATCAGGTAATAATTAATTAATTATAAAATTATAAATTATTTAAACTTTATATAATAATTATTATGTATTAATTTTAATCATTTTAAAAGCAAATAATATAAAAATAAATAAATAAAAAATAAGTTTCTATATTTTTAAAAGAATTATTAAAATATAAAAATGCATGATACAATTTTCATACAATTTTTTTACATAATTGATTGATATAATTATTTCAACATTTTCTTTTTTATTCTTTTCAATAATTATTAAGAATCATGTTTTGAATTTTTGCATTGCAGGTGGTTATGTTGATTTAACAAATACAATATCTATACAATCAAAAGAAAATCTTTCATCTGACATTAATAATACATCTCTTGAAAGTGATGCAGTATTTTTTAAAATTGCTGAATATGTAAAAGCAAATTCAGATGAAGTTAAAAAAATCAATGGAGTATTTCTTTATCAAATTTTGGTAAAAGGAAAACTTCAAGCACAATGGAGTAAATATATTTTTTCTTTTTTAAATCTATGTTAATCTCTGAACTTTATTCTTAATTTTTTTTTATTATTTTAAAGCTTTGGATTTGAAAGAATCCGAAGTATATAGAGGAGAACCAAAATCAAAGCCTGATGCAACATTGACTCTTGAAGATGCTGATATGATTCAAATGGTAAATTTTTTTTTATATTAATACATTATTTCAAACATGTAAATAATATATTTAGTTTATAAATTATTTTCATTCAGGCTTTAGGTAAATTGAATCCACAAATGGCATTCGTTCGACAAAAATTAAAGATTACTGGAAATATCATGCTTACTCAAAAACTAAAAACACTTATAGAAGCAAGTAAATCAAAATTATAATATTAACAAAATTCCTCAATTAAATAATTACATTATATTTATTATATATATATTATAAAAAAATGAGAAAATAGCTAACAGAATGGTATAAAGATAAAGGAATTTTGTTCTATCTGTGATAATTCCAAGCCATTATTAAATTTTCTGCAGCATTTTAATTTTTATCTTCTTAAAAGTATTAATAGTAAATACTTTGAGTCACATCTAATCAAATTTTAAATACTTTAAGATTTCTTTTGGTACTTTTGGTGATATGTGATTTAATTTAAAATAAGACAGTTTTAATTTCTGATAAAAATTTATGTGAGAAATGATTATTAAATTATCTTAATTAGATCATTTTATTTATAAAATATCAATCAGATCTGCATTCCTTTTACTAGCCATTTTCTTATTTTTACATCATAGGTATTATCATATTTTTATACTAATTTTTATTTACTTTAATGATTATATGGCTAGGGTAAAATAAGACATAAAATATTCATATATTTGTTTTATACTATGAATTAAAGAAAGTTATATTTGTATATCCACTTTTTTTTAAATTTAAATAAATATATTTTATATTATTGCAAATCTTGATATTTTTTTTCATCATTTATCCAATAATCTAATAAAATACAACTTTAATCTAATTTTATAATTAATAATAAATTTTATATAAAAAATATTCCATTTGTATTATTTTTTGTATTACTATTTATATTTTTTATTGTTCAATATTAAACTAATTATAAAATAAAAACACATTCAATTTATTCATCGAGATTATTTTTTTTTTTCAGTCTTTGTTTTATTAAATTTATGAATTCTGTATCAATATTATTTTTAGAATCTTTTTTTTTAATTGGTTTTTGAGAAAAATTTTTTTTCATTTTACTTTTTATTTTTACATTTTGTTTTACATTTTTTAAATTATTAGTTGAGATTTGATTTGTTTTTGTCTCTTCATTATTTAATGATAGTGAATCTTTTTGTGAAGATTTATCATTTTCAAAAAATGTTTTTACAATATTTTGTGAAATACATTCTTCAAAATTTTGTGATGAATCAGATTCATTTGTCTCCGATATTTCATTAGTTTCTCTATTTTCATTAAATTGAAATTTCTTTACAATAAATTCTGTACTATAAGCTATTGCAACATTTTCATCAGACGTATCTAAACATATGGTATCTTTATTAGCAATTCTTCCTCCATGTAAAAATGCAGAAACATTTTTTCGTCTCCACATTTTTGATGTTTTTGGAATAAATTGTTTGCATTTTCCTTCAAACAAAAATTCTTGTATATTAACGTCTTTAATTTCTCCTTTTAAAAATTGTAAATATTTTTTTAATGCAGTAAAAAAATGTAATTTATCTGTCATTCTTGGAAAGTTTGCACAACGAGCACTACTAGATGGAGTGACCCAAATTGCAGTTTCATTAATGCGTTCTAATTGTAATCCAAAATTAAAATTACCCATTTTATTAGCAAATACTTCATAAATACATTTGCCATTAAAAACAGCAATCTTTGGCTTGTAAAGTTTTAATTTTTCTTCTATGATTTTAGAACCCTCTTTGATTTCTGTACGTTTTAAATCAGCAGAAGATTTTGTAGCTCTGGTCACTATATTTGTTAGACCGATTCCATATTGAAGAAGTTTATAATCTTCTTCATAATTTAAACATCGAGATGTTAATCCTGATTCATATAAAAGTTTATAAAAATGATTACCTGGACCTGCATAATATCTACCACGATGAGCTGCCATTAAACTTGGATTTATGCCAACAAAAACTAAATCCAGATTCATTTCTAGATAATCTGGCAAAGTATACTGTTGTACTTCTTCTTCTGTTAATCCATCAAATCGGTTAATGTTTTTTCTTTGTTTATTAATTTTTTCTATTGGTGTTTTCTTTTTTAATTTACTCAAAGAGAGTGAAGACATGGTTCTATACCATGAAATCATTACCATGAGTTAAGAAAAGAATAATATATCTTTTCAGAAATATAATATATCTACATTTTGTTTGTTATATTAATGCTTTTAATAGTAGATTTCTTTTTACTGTTTCGTGTTAATTTAGGTTAAGTCATAAATCTAATGTTCATTCAATGATGCCGTAACACTGGTATTTTGGCATAAATAAAACCACGTGATGAAAATAAACACAATTAAAATCATAATTCAAAAAGATTATTTTTCTATGTAACGAAATACTAATAAAAAACATTAAAGTTTGTAAATTAAATGAAAAATAGTAAGCTCAATTCAGTAATTAGATTCTGAATTTATTTGATAAATAACAGTAAATAATAACAATATGGATCAATAAAAGTTCAATAAAATTATCATATTAATGCAATTTTAAAGAATTTAACGAAATATATTATGTTTCATCCATGTATCAATATTCAAATGATAAATTTAGGACCATATTCAATCAATGAATCGGTTTATCTAAATTCAACCACTAGTACATATCCTATATCTGCTTGTATAATCGGATGTAAGGTATGTGCATAATGCGACATATCTGCAGAGGTACAGATAATATGTACTTACGTGAGTACATTATTATACATTATTTGGAAATATCTATTATATATCTAAGAAAAATATTTATTATTTATTATTAATTTTTGAATTGAATTTTTTTTTTTAGATTTTACATTCATTGATTCTATTTTTTAATATATAAAGTAGCAAATTATAATATTATAAAAATCTATATTATTTGATATTAGATTTATCTTATTTAAGAATTTAATTACATATAATTATAGCTTACATATTATACAAAAATTATATTTACTACACAATTTCATTTTTGTGTAGATTGATTTTTTAGTTTTGAGATACTCGATTATTTATGTTTCTTTATGATTATTTATTTTTTTTATTTTTTTCATTCATGATGAAAGTTGAATGAATTTTACAGAAACGAATATAATATTCATATGATGATAGTACAGCACATAATTAAACAGAGTATTTACAGAGCATACCTGCTAATCTAGCTACCGGAATGCATTCAAATTGTGTTGGTCTTTCGGTCTAGCGAGCATAGTCGACATTCAAACACATAGTTTACTATTATGCGATCTGCTTAATTTTTTTACTATATAATAGTATTGAATTTTGATTTTTGAATCTTAAGACATAAGTTTAATTATAATCATGTATATCGTAATTTTATGTTATTAAGAAGATGATTTTAATTTAATATATTAATTTTAATTTATTAATTTTGACGTTACTAATTTTTAGGTAATAGAATTCTGGTAGTTAACAGGTACTAATATTACAACTTTACGAATTTATTATTAATTGTGTAATATTAATAACAAGTTGTAGTTATCATTAGAACCATATAATTCAAAACTATTTCGATGTTATAATGAAGAAAATTCTATAAAATTCCTTGTTAAATTATCAATTAACTATTAATCACATTGCCAACAATCAAATATCAAACAACCATAGGAGATAGTTTTGGACACTTTTATTTATTTATTTATTTTTTTTTTTTCGTAATTGCTCATAATTAGCATGATTGGTATAGCGATTATTAGTACAGTGGTATATAGCGAATCGTGACCGTTGTTTCACAGATTCGCGCGCGGAAACTCGAAACTCGATTTGTGAACTGTTTAATTTTCACCAGTTATTCATTAGCCAGTTACCAACTCGTTATTACGGACCAGTGAATTATTGCACGCGTATACTGGCTTGTGGCATACGTGTTCGTCGTGAAACCACGATTTCCGGCTCTCTTCACGCGCCACACCGCAAACGAGCAGATTTTGGCGTACGCTCAACACTATTAAATGTCCGGTGAAGACGTAACGATTATGGGAAAAATCGACGAGTTTGAGGTTAGATTGGCGAACCTCGGGAAATCCTATTATCGTAACGAACCGTTGAATCCAGTCACACGTTACGATTATATGGATTTAAATGGTATAAGTCTTAATAAGACAAAATCTTTAATTTGAAGAAATTATGAAGTTTGATATATGTATATGCGAATAGTATATTGATAGAATAATAATAAATGTTAAAAAATCTTAATTTATAATATATTCTTATTATATATAATATATCTTTCTATTAATAATAACGAATCAATTTATGATTTTTAATTTTTATAGTTACTTTTATAGTTAATTTTAAGAGTGTTTTATTATTCGTTTTTTTTCAATTGTATAGAAATTATAGCGAATTGTTCGATAAAATTAAGATCCATTTCAAAATTTATTGTATTTTTGAATCTAACTGAATTCTAATACAAATTTTTAATAGAATTCGATTATTATTCAGAAAAGATGATGTTCCAATTTCAATATTTACAAAATGATCATTCGGCTTTGAACTTCAAAATATAGCTTCTAAAAATATCTACTTGTAAATATTTTTACATTTGAAAAAATCGAATATATATCATGAAAGTAATACTCAACTGTGTATCTGTAAAGGAAGGAAAAATATGCATATAAAAATAAAATAAAGTAATATTATTACGTTTATTTAAATTAAAATTGACAAAGAAACGTAGACTCCAATTTCATCCATATAAATTTAGTTAATAAAATTTTACGCAGCAAACACCGATTCTACTCTCGTATATGACTAGTATAATTGAACTTAACGAGAGTATTACACTTCGAAAAACATTGGAAAAAATATTACGTTGCAAATACTGATTTTCGCTTAAAAATTCTCTGAAAATAAAGTTATATTAAAGTTATATTTTTTGATGAAATAATTTTTGTTTAAATAATTTGTATAATTTTTTTTTGTTTTATAATATTCTCAACAAACTATTTACATTAAAATTATTTACATTGAAAATATATTATATATATTAATTACGAATAACATATTAAATATAACAATTATTTCTATCAAAAAGATGATAGAAATGCAATATATGCAATACATTTGTTGCAGACTAAATTAAATATCATGTTTCTATGAATAGCTAAATTCAATGTATAAATATCATAATTATGATATTTATACATTGAATTTCTATAATATTAATCGATTTCAGCAAAATATATTATCACGGTTAATCAATAATAAAATCAAAAATAAAATGAACATTAACAAATTAACAAAATTAACAAAAATTAAAATATATTATTTAATAATTTATATTAATATTTTATGGAATTGCTTTTTGCAAAAGTATTTCAAGTATTAACATGTTGTGTTAATTTGCATTATTTGCATCTACTTGGCGTTATCAGATTTAATGTAACTCCAAAGTGAACTAACTATAAGAAAGGTCAACCAGACCAGGGTCAGTATATAACATCCATCATCACTGAAGTAGTTGGTAAATTTACTCTAACTATGTAACAACCACACTTTCTGGTTTTATCTTTTTTATCTTCTTCACAGGTTTCTTAGCATTATATGAATATTAACTATATGAATGAAATAACGATTATCTCAACATTTCTTAATTTATAGATCTATATAATATCAATTTCAATCATTTTTCGTTTTTCAAATTAAGGTATATACGAATATTCCACGAATACCTTATCCCGATAATCTAAAAGGAAAATTCGCAGAGGGCATTGACGATGCGACGAAACGCGGCCAATGACGATAATTCTTGGATCATAATTCCATTCGAGCCCGGGAAAGATTCGTGAGCAAGGAACATCGCAATTGCTGAATTGCGGAAGTGGGGGACCGATGTTCAGGGAACGAAGAGGGAATTTCCTGTTGTTTCTACGTCTACTCTTAGGAACGAAGGAAATTTAATTAGTTGAGAAGCTACCAATGCCATGTGCATTCGAACGTATCGTTCGGAACGACGATACCGGAAGCGTGGAATGAAAGAGGGGATGAAGATGTAATGATAGACGACATTTCTAGGAGAAAAACAGAGAGAGAGAGAGAGAAAAAGTAAGAAGAAAGAAATGGCGATACAAACAAAATTGCATATTCACAAAAAAGAGAAAAAAAAATACAATTGGTAATCTTTCGATTATTTTATGCATAATTTACAGTAATATTTAAATTTATAAATTTTTTTACTAAAAATTAAAAAATCGAATTTTCAATTGGCTCTATAATTTGTACGAACAATTTCCATTTAACCAGAGTTTTTCTTTTCATTTCTCGATCGAACACGATTGTTTTCGTTTATTCTGCCACGAAAATGATTACAGCTCGTGTCGCATAGTGAGGAGTTGTGTAAATCACATTAGACGCCATAATGAGTTTAGAAACGAAGCTGAATGAAAAGATACATTTCTATCTTATTTTTTTTTCCTCTTTATTTTTAGTAATTTTAAATTTGCATAACTCGAAATTTTCTCGAAAACTCTTGAATTCTTTATTTCTTCTTTTCTTCCTTTTCTGAGGGATAAGTTTAAGATTTTATCGAAGAGAGAATAATCTTAAAAACAATCTTATTTTTTCCCTCGATCCGGATCTCTCATTTTTTCTGCTTCTTCTTCTCCTATTTTTCTTCTTTTTTTTTTTTTTTCATTCGTAGGTAAAAAGACGAACGTTTCTTTGAACAGGGGGCCAACAGGCATTCTTCGAGATACAATAATGCATTCACGGATACACAGTGAGCACGATGTGTAATTAGTCACTCGTCAGAGACTGCTTGAACAATGGAGTCAACGTATCCTCGCCATTTCCTTGCATTATCTCTGTTGTACAACGCTATCTGAGCCAACTGCGCTTGATTAGCACGGATTACGACAAACGTAATTGATACACGCGCCGATGCAGTGATCAGATTACGTTTCAAACGTATCTTCTCTCCAAGCGTCTACGTTCTAGTTCAAGTAAACTGTCACTAGAATCATCACAAAGCGTCGAAACAAGCATTGAATTAACATAATATTCTAGATTTTATGATGCACGTAATTAATACGCGAGAAATTGTCTTACTAAATAAATTTTAATCTTTTGATATTTTTATTAAAAATTTTGCAAAACAATTTAAATCAGAAATAACGAATGAATTTTTTAATTTAGAAATCATCATCGATTTTTCACATTATTAGGAATCGCATTATCTACTCCATTTGAATTGAATTTTTTTCCCTCACATTTGTTGTCACGTAATATACTTTGCATCAATTTACAGAAAGGGCACGGAAAAAGTGTACTAGCATCTCTTATCTTACCACGGCAGAAGGTTGACAGAGCTAGAAATATAGGTCAGAAAGATCTTTCTTGCTGATGGCGTGTTTCTTCACTGAACGTATTATGTATACATATATAACAGTTGAAGTAGTAGTACAACCATACGTATGAGCTTCCACGTACCAGAGCTTTATAAAATATATATTTCGTAATAACGTATATAACTTACGATAATAAGATGATTTTGCATGAATGGATAAAATTTATATAATTCGTATATATAAATAAAAATATATTTAATTGTTTTGCTAAATTTTACGAGTTCAAAATTATAAATTTTTCGAGTTTAATAATATTCGCGTAAAAATTTAAAATTTAATACATTACTGGAATATTATATATTTTATTTTTATTATTGTCAGTTTGATATTTTTCTCTCAAATTTTTTTATCTCTATAAAAACTTGTTGTATTCAATTTACATCTATTTTCTAAAATGAATACTAAATGAATATACTAAAAAGTTTTTTTTTTTAATTAATAGAAATTAAAATTGCAACAATGTTGAATGATTTTTATATTCAAATTAAAAAAAAAAATAATAATTATAATGAAAATTTGTACTTACCAAATTCTTACATTTGACAAAAAATTGGGTCCCTTTATTCCGTTCTACGATTTCGGTTACACCTTATACACAACGTGCTAAAGCCATCTGGATTTGTCGGAGGATTTATATAATTCGTAGTCCGTGATATTCCAAGTCCTGACCACTAATGCTGATCCTCCTGTATTTATCGCGCTCCTTAGAGATATTCGAACAGGGAGTCTAAAAGTCTAAAGTTTAAACGTTGAGGACTCGGTATAATTATTATTTCAGAGTGTTTGATCATTTTATCTTCATTTTTTAAATCTAAAATTATTTTTGATGTCTAAATTTCTAGAATTATTTTATACCTTGTATCGAAAAAGATATTGGACAAAATTGTGATTTAAGATTAAACGAGATATAGAATGAAAGATATTTTGTCCGATTCGATGGAGAATATTTTTAGGCTGATTGATCTTAGAGTATAGTTATCAAGATTGCCTTTCTTACTCTATATTTTCATGGATGGAAATAGAACATGTATATTTCCGTTTCCATTTATAACAGTTCAAAAATGTTTGTGTGAAAGAAATATGAAACAGAATTTTACATCGTAGAAATTTTAGTAAATAAATTTCAATTTATGCCTAGAAAGATTTTTATAAAAAGAATAAATTTTATTTTACATTGGAGAGATTTTGTTCCATAAATTTAATTTTAGAGATTTTACTAAATAAATTTTACTTTATGCTGAAGCTTTATGCTTTTGTTTAATTAAATATGCTTTTACTTTATGCTTTTAATTTAAAGATTTTTTAAAATATTATTTACGTATTCGTATTTGCTGGATCAAATTTTACTTTTCTAATAAAATTCAAATGTTTAATATATTAAATTGAATCCTATCGATCTGACCCTACTAGAATTATAATATTTGTTATTATTTGCGGTTTCAGATATCAATAAGGGGAACTTGGAATCTATTTTCGTGGATTTGAGGGTTTTACTTTACATATATATATATATATATGTGTAAGATATTACGTATGTACGATGTTTTCATTTATTTTTGAATACGAATACTTTTCATTCAAATTTTTTTTTTAGAAAAATCTTTTGAAATTTACAAAAAGATTTTACTTTTTGATCTTTAGTTTTTAATTTTTCGTAATAAAAAAATATCTAACCTAAATCCAATATAAACTATGAAATCAAAAATTAAATCATCTTTGATATCAAATAATTTATATTAATTCAAAAATTAAATAAAAACTCAGTTAATTGATTAAATGATTTGCATTGGGTTTAAACTAATTTTTTTAATTTGGCGGTCATGAAGTGGTCGATTTTCAATTCTCTGTAGAGAATAAATTTGAAACTTATTTAACTTAACCTAACCTAATCTAAATTATTTCGAACAAAAGTTTTTGTTGATAACTTCTTAATAAGCAAATAAAATCTTCACAATATTATTCAGGATGATGACCTTCGTAATATATTAAAAAATTATCAATCATCAAGAAGGTGATAATTTTTTATAAATAATTATCCAATCTTCATACATCAATAATAACGTAAATAAATAACAAATTCAATTATTTTTGATATTTTCAAATCACTTTCGTGTCTAACAATTTTGATAAAAATAATTTGCTATATTTTATATTAAAGGAAAATCATAGACGAACAAAGCAAATCTTGTTTCGCAATACTTTAATTGTTGAAGATAGGTCGGGCGTCTCGGCGAACAACTTTCGCCGATGTTCATATCCACTTTGCGCGATAATTATATAGCGAAAACGTGATTACAGTAAAATCTGCAATACCATCGATGGGGAACATTTTGCCCGAGTAATGTTCTTGTCAATTCACACCATCCATAACGTGAATGCACACCTCCATGCCATCTTTTGTTCTCTGTGTACGTATGTGTGTCCACTTGAAAAGCACGACGATAGGGAGATTGCGTGACACATGCTGTAAACGTTCATGGAGCTTGAACTTATAGACACATCGACAGAGTGACGCTTGACATGTAATTTCCTAGAAACTCTCACGTACCTGACTATATTAATAGAGAACACCTCGCACGTGTCTGCACGTAGTATGTTCGAGCATTTTTGTAAAAGCTATTAGAAAAAAAAAAATAAGTACTCTAAAATAAATACTCTAAAATAAGGTACAAAATCTGTAATAAAAAAAAATTCTTTTAAATAGAAATAAGATAATAAAAATGAAATTTTTCTAAATGATGTATATATACACTATTATAAATTAAAAAATAATATTTTTAGAAAGTAAGTAAGCGTAATGTGATAAAAAATTATACTAAGTTTACTAATTTAATTTTTGAAGAATAGTCATTGCATAATTTAACATGACAATGAATGATCGTTATTTTAAGAAATGATTATCCAAGAGAGATTATCAACTGATTTGTATCGATCTTCAAAACTAATTATTGTAAACTGTTCCTCTAACAATAATCGATTTAATATTATATACCACTAACTATTTGCAATTTAATTATATATAATAATTTTGTAATGGACACGGGACAGGTGCGCTGCGGTGACTTGTTAATTAAACAATATACGCATTCTTGATGTAGCTCTTGTTCATAGCTTCTTGCCTCTTATACCCGTCTCGGTAATCAGTTTAACAAGCTGTAGCCTAGTCGAGCTTCCTGAATTTACATCTTCGCATAAGTTTGCTTCCGTTCTATTCCTGGTTTAATTAATGGTGATAGAAATAAAGCAAACCAGTGTTTTCCAATGTTTCTGAATTAAAATCCTTCTTTGTAATAATCTTCTTTTTTTTCTTTCTGTAAGATAAGAAAAATTAAAAAAATTATATATTTTTGTTTCGTTTGGTAGAAAGTTTTTAAGCCTAATATCTTTCAAAAATAATTTTATAAAATCAACACATTCGAGATAGAAAATGTATACATTATCTTTCATTCTATGGCGCAATCATGAACTTTTTCAAGATGAAAAAAGATTAAAAAATTTTTTTTGCATATTATGTTCAATACAAATGTTTTTAATACGATATAGTTTCAAAGAATTAAATTTGTTATAAATCAAGGCTACAAAACCAGGTGGATACATATCAAAGGAATATGATCATAGAAGGATTAGATGCGCGGACGAACTTGATGCGAAATCAAAGAGCTTCTTGGACTTTTAGAAGATTAAGATTTCGTGAACGAATGCGATATAAAATCAAACAATTATTAGTAAAAAGATATCATAAATCTCATTAAAATGTTGTTAAGAAGTTTGTATACATATGCAACAGATGAACTTGACCTAGTGAAGGAGTTGTAGAATTTATAGACGAACTTGATTGAAAATGAAAAGTTACAGCAAATGCTTTTAATTGAATGGCGTGAACATGATACGATGATTGAAAAATTGCAAAAAATTTTATTAGATTAGATTTTGTAATTTTTAATTTTTTATCAGAAAAATATTATTTTGTCAAAGAATAGATTTGTCTATATTCGTATTGTATATTTATAGTAAGTTTTTAGAGAATGCATGAAAATTCTTAATATGTATTATCTTTCTCATAGAATCAATGATAATTTACAGAATATAATAGGAATACTTACGTGTAATTGATAAACATTTATATTCATAATTTATAAAGAAATAGAATGACAATTGCATTTATTGAACAATTATTTGTTTAATATTGTATCTTGTGCCGAAATATATCTTATTTACTAATTACAATAATGTTGAATCAAATGTAATCAATGATTCCAATAAATTTCAAATAATCACGTTAGATTTAATTGAGATAACTACAGGAAATTGCTATTATATCTACAAATAAATCAGATAAACTTACAGATAAACTTTAATAAATTAAAAAAGTTAATTAAAAAAATAATAGAATTTGTCACACGTTAACATACTGTTAAATCTCAATTTTACTCACGAATTATCCATGTTGGAATTTTGTGTCCGAAGAAACTTTTGAATGATTAGTCCAAAGGGATTTCAGTTTTCGTACTAGTATTCGACTCTCTTTGGCACCGTCTTCTGAATGATTAATGACTTGGCAGAAACTGCTACTATAGTTTATTGGAAACAGTCCATATATCGATGATGTATACAGCGATGTTATACGAGCACGGTAGGCCTTGTTGTTTCATGGGTTAATAGAACGACCAATAAGATAACGGCTGCCATTGACACGTTATACACGTTCATGTAGCGGAACGATGCACACGAGAATCACGTGTAAAATATTTACAGTTATAGGATTTGCTATGATCATATCACTGCAACCAATTCTGTGATATATATCGTACATATAGCTGCCAAGTTATACTGTTCACGCTATTCTTGTCATAATCGAAATATGCATTTATGAAGTTCGTTTACAATCTTTCTACATAAAATGATAGATAATATAAATGATGTATGTTATGCACGTTTTATACACGTGTTTAAAATGATAGAGAATTTAAAAGAAATTTATTAAGTTTGATTTAACGAAAACTTATAAATTTATTTCATCTCAAAAAAAAAGTCTGAGAACGATTTAATTTACGAGGTTATGAACGATCCCATTTTACCTTGACCACATCAACTTGCCGTAATTCGAACCACGATCTCTCGTTTCAATCGTATTTTCCTTCTTCCTAATTTTTTTTCCACTTTCGAGGGCTCATTAATTATAATACTCAGTGCGGTATGAAGGATTTATTGTTCCTCTTGCCACTCATGATTCAACCTCTTTATTGGTCCACTTGCGGCTTACCAGACTATAGAATTTCTTCCTTCGTAACTTTCGTATTGTTTCTCTACGGTAATTATCGTTTCCATTTTGCGCAAGTGCGTATATATTTTTTTTTTTTGAATTACAAATTGTAACTTAATACTATTGTTACAATAATAATTAATAGTTTGTGTTGAGATATAATTAATGAAAAAGTTCGTTTAAACGGAATGAATTTAAATTTAATTTCTTTGTAAAGTTATTCGTTAATTAAAATTCATTTATTAAAATAATTTAGAAACGAGGCAAAAGAATATAATATCAATTTAATTTTATTATTTAATATATTTCAAGTAGCTTAAATTAGAAATTTCGTAATAATTATACTTCATTTGTGGATTATATGAAATATTTATTTGAATTTATGCACTTATCGATAAATAATTGGGAATAATTATACACACTAATATTACAATATCGTACATTTATAGTTGTAACGTTTTAATATTATTCATAATGATTTTCACGTTAAACAATGGATATCTGTAATCATTCGTAATTCATCGATAAATGGCAAAATTGGAAATATAGAATATTCTATATCCCACAGGTCGGCATTAATATTACTATTATTATTAATACGAGAAAGATTGTATTAAAATTTATACGAATATAATACAAATCGACTAAAAATTAATTCTAAAGGAAGGTATCTCAAGATATGATATGTATTTCTTTTTCACTCATATCTAAAAATTAAATTACTTATTTTAAGTAGACATAGATTAAGATAAAAAGCATAAATCGTTTTAATCGTGGATAAAATTAAATTTAAACTATCTCGAATTTAAAAATAAACAAGAAAGAACAATTCCAAATAACGAAACAAATAAATTCGCCAATATCTCTTCATTTAATTTTTATTTAGAAAGTGCAAAATAAAATAACCTAAAAATTTGATAAACATCCGAAAAGTGGGCAAAAAAACTTTGCGGAAACAATTAGAAAACCGCGTAAAAAAAACTATTTTCGGGGAACTTGTCGAAATATTGTTAAAACTGTATGTATTTTTACCGAAATAGCAAAGGGGTTATTTTAAAAACGAGATGCCTTTTGATTAAAAATTTTTAATTAAAAACTTACGCTAGATTTATTAATTCTCTCTCTGATATATTTATACTCTGTCAAATATGAAAATGCACAAAGGACGACATTATCGTTTATTTCCTTTCCTCGCGCGTGACAAATTGAAAAATTGTACCCCCTTATAATTTTTTATTCGTATAATAGGACAGAAAAATTTTGAAAAAGAGACGCACAAATTTTCAAGATTCGAAGAGATTTCAGCTTGCATACAAATTAATTTTTGCCCGATCCTTTAATGTAAAAATGATTCTCTCGTCCCTTTGTGTCCTTTTTTATTAAATTTCTCGAGGATATATCGATATCAAAGGGAAGAAAGAAAGAGATTCGTGCGCAAACAACAGTGTCATCAAACACGATCAATTAGAAAAAGCAGCATTCGTCTTTCGGTGATATAGTCGAGCTTACGTCGGGACCAACTAATTAATCCGCAGCATGATTGCAAGTAAATCGAATCCAGTGTGGTGGAAAGTGGCGAAGGATCCAGGGGAAGGACACGGGTGGATGAAGTATGGAGTATGTTAAAGGAACGCGGAGGGTTCGGTGGTTCAGTTAAATATGCAAATCGAGTTGCACTTATGTCTCGGCCCGCTACTAGGGGAATGGTTGCCACAGGGGTGCAAACACAGGGCTCCGCATCCCCTCGAACCTGTCGGCAGCGGTGCACTCGAAGGGAAGTGCTCCCTGACCCGGTATGCTCTTTCTAATGTTTGTTCAATCAAATCCTATCCGTCGAACCACCGATTTCCTCCATTGGCTCCATCCTGTGATTTTCGTCTCATTGATCCTCCCCCTGAATTTCTCAAATTCTTAACCTCTTTTTCAAAGTATTAATAGAAATTGATAATAATGGATCAATATATTTCGAAATTCGTACTATTAATCGAGGGTTTATTTATTTCGATTCGAATTTTTCATATTCCCCGTTCTTCTTTCCAAATATCAAATCGATCAAACGTTGACATAAGTATTTCCGTTCGTTTCTGAAATTTTCCGAATTTTCCTTTTTTCAAGTTTCATCAATCCAGTATCGATATATTTAGTTTTCTATTTCGAAGTATCGAACTTATTATCGATTTATTATAGATATTTCGATTCTAAAATTCTTCTCTTTCTTTTCGAAGTATTATCGATCGAGTATTAACATACATCGATTCGTTTCTCTAATTCTTCGTAGATATCCAAATATCGATCATATATCGATATATATTTCGATTCGAGCACTGGAGTGTAAGATTTGCAATGGTGGCACATATGTACGGTTTTATCGCGCGTGGTCAATTGCCTCGAAAATTTCGTGTCGCGAAAGATAATAAAAAAAATTAAATAACGACAGTTGTAAAATGTACATGTTATCAATTTTCCGTAAACGTTGTATTATTCTGCTGGATTTATATTTATTTTAACGTGATGCAAATATTAAATGTCAATAAACGCTTCGAATTACATCGTTGAATCGTTATAGATCCGTTGTGCAAAGATATTTTTAAATTTTTCATTAATATTTCGTTTTCATCTCATTTAATAACACCTATCTAAAATCAATCTAACCAAACATAGAACTGTGCAATCTATTTAGCGTTCTAGCTTGTGATACGAGGAAAACAACGATCCTTTCTTTGAATACTCCACGCATGACTATTTTAGCGGCAACGAGATCCATGAAAGGTGTAAATAAGATGATAAGTACACCCTTCAACAGAGTTTCCTCATTAAGCTCATTAGCCGCCGCTCTATTTCATTAGCAAACTGGCAACAAGGAAGCATGGTCAAAGAAAATTATGACTGTCACACGTTTTGTCCTAACTTCTCTCTAAAACGTTCTTCTCTCTATTTGCTTTTCAACGATCCATAATTAAACTGATTCTGACTTCTTGGCGATCCTAACTTGTTGAGCATTCGATTTTGGTTCCAGACTAATTCTCTGAATTTTTATAGAATCCAAAATATCTCTTGAGAAGAAAGAAGAAAATTCAATTTCTTTTTTATGTGTCTGACATTCCTTTTTGCGAAAAATATTTAATCGAGGACCAAAAGATAAATTTAGTTTCGGGATGGAAAATATTTTTTCTGATATTTAAGGCTAAGGAATATTTTATAAATTTGATGAGAAAAATATTTTGTGAATTATTAATAACATAATTCGTATCAAAATTGGATTGGACATCTGATACGTCTATTTGTATTTAAATATGCATTTAAATTTGCATTTAAATATGTAAAAGATTACACAATAATAGGTCAACATCTGTTGCTACTGTGTAAAGCGTTTAACGTGCCAAATAGTCGCCTGTTCATTTCCACAAATGGGCTATGAACATTCAAATGAATATGTAGGGAGTAATAAATGCCAAGTAAAAGAAATAAAAATGAATTTATAGGATGGAATTGACGGGAAAAATTGTTTTAAACCGCTGTTGTTCCTTAGATGTTCCAGTAACAGCCAAGAATATCTCAGAAGATGGATTTTTCTCAGCATGTAACCAAGAAAGCAAGGTGAATTAAAATCGAAGGCTGAGGAGATTAGAAAACTGCCAGAAGCAAGCCTGAACCATTTGTCAAATGCTCGCAAATTCGATTTGAACGACGCAAACACGATCTTAAGTGGGGTCGAAGTTTCATGTTGTCGAGAATACTGCTCACGAGGAAGGGAACAAGTTTAATGTGTCTTAAAAAATTACTTTTCTCCAGGAGCTGAAAAAAATATAACGAAATTGTAAACTATTTGTTGTTTTAAGTATATCAAATATATCTACATCGATCAAGCATATAATCTTTCATAATATCTTTCTGCAACAAAACATTTTATTAATAACGTTAATATTGCTACAGATTAATAATCTTAATATTTTTTTGCAATGTTTTATTTCGTTTATTAATCTGTCTTTTTAATGATGTACATGATACTATTTGAGAAATTTTCTTATATTCAATCATAGATACAACAATTATAGATTGCAACAAAGGTATAAATTGAAAAAATTTTCAAAAAAAGAAAGTGATGTTACTCTCGATATTATTATTCACTTGTTGCTCACCAATTTTTGAAGATAAAAATGAGCTTTGAACTTTTCATGTATTATTTTGTTCTGATTGTTCAAGCGTGCAATATTGTATAATGAATTAAAAATAGAAAACCTTTTATTCTGAAATACGGACTTTCGATTGCAAATTTTCGATCGCAAAGGAGTTTACATTACAGCAAGCATTTCCTTTCGACGCCTCGTCGCTCGATATAGTTGCACTTTCCTTTCCGGAACTCATATCAGTCTCATGCATATAACGTGTGTTCCACGAGGCACTGGTTTGAGTAAACACCATGCAAGGTTGAATGCCGTGATTTCCAGTCAAGGATTCCTGGAAAATGTCGAGAATTCAGAGATCCGCGATGCAATGCTGCTATTTCTTTTCGAGAAAGGATAGATATGAAACATGACATTCAATTACGTTTAGTTTCTATTGCGTTTCGTGGTTCTCTAAACTTTCTTCTTTTCTTCCAATGTGTTTCTTCAACTCTATGCTTTTCCTCCGAGAAGATGGAATTTAACTTAAGATTTATTTTAAACTTTGAATATAGTCTGAAAAAAAATAATTTCACTGATAATTTTGTCTGATCGTCGATGAATCATTATTAATTATCGATCTTTTTCTAAGAAAATATTTTTTGAAATGTACAACTTGCAATATTTTAATCGAAAACATTGTTAAAAACTGATCCAAGAATGGTTTATACGCGTTTTAACGAGATGATAAGATTGAATGCACATGTGCAATTTCGAATGTAAATGAATTAAATGAACCATGATTGTTTTAACAAATTATTGGCTCGTTTGGAAATTAATTTTCAAAATATCGTTTAATACGATTCATTGATTCGAAGAATCAATATGCGTGCATCCCAATTAATGAATTTCGATTCACAAATTCGACAGACTTTTCGCCAATTTGTTTCACGACATGAAGGATGTCATCAGGGAACTTATTCGAAATTGTAGTCGTGAAATAAAATAATTGCGGATACAATTAAACATTTCAATCAATTGAATAATTATAATATTTAATATTTTTCAGCACCGTTTTATCAAATTTTTAAATATGTTTTAAAAATTTGACGAATCTCTCCAATAAATCATTTATATTATAAAATATATTGTGATATATATAATTTATATGTTACGATATATTACGATGGAAATATAACACGTGTAACGTAATCAGCTTCATTTATATTTTGATAGATTGTTTGAATTAGACGATATCATGGAAGGAACATGATATTACGTGCATAATATTTGAAAAAATTAAAAATTGCACAAATTGACAAATTGAAAAATGAAAAAAGACGTTAAATTATTATTGATATCTTTTTATCCAATCAATCGATGATATTTGTTAATAATACGTTATATATTTCGTCGCAATAAAATCGCATTTGCCCGGCGGAATTAAATCGATTTATGAGAGAAAATCCGTTTCAAATGTCTCTGGTACATAGCACCCGGTCTCCTTATTATTTATGGGATTGCATTACACTGTATCACTGTTTCAATAATTAATAGCCATGTCCCCATTTTGATGTTACCCTCCCGCAAAATACTAAATCTACTCAACGTAAAGGTAACTGCATCGATTCACTTTAACCGATTCCTTCCAATTTCTCAAATTATTTGTACACTCACTCTGTAAATATGTACCTAATCAGCTTTCTCTATCAAGAATACATGTTCAAAGGATTAAATCATTGTAAAGCTTCTTCATCGTTTGTGTTATATATAGTATGTCAAATTTGGTTAGATTTGATTTACTCAAATTATTTATACATTCACTGTGTATAAAGTTTTCTGATTAGATCACTATAAAGCTTCTTCATTGTTTGTGCTATATATATGTTCTAAAAATATAAGAATATCCGTTAACTGGAGATGACCAATCACGAACCACGTAGCCTAGTTGAGACGATATCATTGGCTATATGCTGTTGATCTAGCACGAATAAATCCAAGCAACATATATTGAAAAAAGAGTATTGAATATAATAAATATTTTTTTATCGATAAAAAATTATATCGAGTTATATCACGAACAATGAATAAACTATAATATTCAACGCATTTTTTTCGATGTATATTATTTGGATTTATTTGTGCAGGATTTATTCATATAGCCAACGCTATCATCGCAACTCAACTAGGCTATACGCTCCGTGATTGGTCAGTGTTTTTTGTTAATAATTCGTTAACAAAGCCGTAATGAAAGTTTTTGCAAGGAAAAATATCGTTTGAAATTATCTCAAGAATCTTCAGTTAACGAATATACCTATTTTTGAACATGTTGCATAAAGAGAAAAAATTGATTGAATTTGATTTTCTTAAATTATTTGTATATTCACTATATATAAATATGTACCTAATCAGCTTTCTATGTTAAGAATACACGCTCAAAGGATTAAATCGTTATAGAATTTCTTCATTATTTGTGCAGGTATATAAGATTTAATTAAATTTCGTCTTCTTACGTATAAATATATATCTGTGTCGAGAATAAAATATTCAAAAGATTAGGATGATTATAAAGTTTTTTCATTTGTATTATATATAGTATGTAAACAGAAAAATAATATTAATCTTCTCTATTATAGATTAATCGAATTTTATTTAAAATTTATCAAATGAAAGTTTATTTAATAATTTTTGTCAAAGATTTGGGAAATTAATATTATCAAAATTTTATCCGATAACGAGATAAAAATCCTTTCTCAGAAAATTTTATTTACTGTTCTGTGGAGATACAGATTAATGGAACCGCAGCACGCTAAAATTTACTTTAGAGTGTATGTAACCAGGTGTCCTATAAGCGCAAGCACTGAAACCAAATTAATGTAACGAAATATCTAATATACGTTCCACGGTTGGCTAACTGGCTACCCTAAAATTGCGTTTTAGATATTTGGTCAGAAGCCAAGAATCACAGCTACACAGGTATTGCATAATTTACACTTTATACGATAAGATTTGTAACAAACAATTCTAAAAAAAATTCTCTTTCCTTTTTTAATTTTTTTTTAATTTCTATAATTCATATTTGATAACAGGATAACAAAATTCAACGAATTCACCATCGATTAATTAAAGAATTAATGGAAGAAACGCGAATTTTCGAGTTTTCTCGAGCAATGTTTCATGAATCGTTGATCCTTGATGGATTTACCTTCGAATCGATCTGAAACGTAGCCTCATCCCTTTCACTAACTACACAGAACCGCTCTCCTCCCCTCAGCAACGTCCAGGTCAAAGTCCTTCAACCAATTTGCTCTCTTCCTGGCAAAAACTCGTCTCTTCCTCTTCAATTCCCTCTAAACAGCGAGAAGAAATTCTTTTGTAACTCTCCACGGTTGCGACATTCACCTACTCCCTCTTCTCACTTCCTTCGACTCGACCTTTTCTTTGTCCCCGGCTATTGTTTTCCCCATCTCTCCGTCTTTCTTTTTTCCCTCCCTCTTATTTTATTTTATTTTTTTCTTTTCATTTTTAACCCGATGCAGTATTTGACTTTCTTTTTTTTTTTTCCAGACAGAACCGGTAAACACCCACTTTTAATTAAATAACGCGACCCAGCAACGTGTGCAAAATACCAGCGATTTCTCCTCTTATCCTTATTTTATCCCCCGCATTTCTACTACTTTTGTTCGGTGGAAATTGTAATTAGTTCCTATTAAATTTCGGTATGCAATGGTTGTAACAATGGAAAAAGGAGGATAATACGGAGGTAAGAATCTTCTCGATTATTCATACTCTTGTTTTACTTTTTTCCTCAGATCTTTTTTCACTTAGAATTTTGATGTACGCATACACAGTAAATGTGAAATAGTTCCAATCCACGAGATTCTTTTTATTCCTTTATTTCTTTAATCGTTGAAGTCTAATTTCCAATTTCTTTTTTTTCTTATTTTGCTCTTTGTGCACAGCTATTCCTGAAATTAGATATCGAATTACACGAGGACGGATACGCAGTATGATCATTAGGGGAAGAAAAAAAAAAAGAAAAACTTTATTGGAAATTGAATTTAATTTTTCACACGAAGAATCCCTCTAATACCTTCATTTCACTGGAATTTGGAAGCTTAATATAAAGATTTTTGAAGAACTTTACTTTGCAAAGAGTTCTGCGTTCGTCGAATGTTGCAACTTGTCGATTTCGAGGAGAAACGTTTCCATCCCCTCGCTTTGTCTCGAAAAGTCTCGACATCTTCAAGACAGATATGTACACGATTGAGCTGAAGTTTATAGTCGACGTAAAAGTCAACTTTGCAATAGTTGCAAACGTGCAAGTAGGAATTCTCTCAGCATCGAGATTTTCCTGTCACTGTCGGTTGTAGTTTGCACCACTTTGAACGCGATTTCTCAGTTAAAGAGACACATCTGATGTCGCCTATCTTGCGGAGGTAGTTGCACGCTTCCCAAGTTTAAGTCTCGTTCAGCTTTTAGGGACTCGAGGATTCAAAGATCATATTTCGTCAACGCGCATTACATCTCTTTTCCATTGTTTTTTTTGTTTTTCTATCAATGTTTAAAGGATTCAAAGCATAGTAAAAAAAAAAATGTAACGTACAATGAAAATCTATCTGATAGTTTTTTTTCGTCTCCAAAAGTTTCAAGCTCTAAACGTATTTCAAATGAAATTTAAACGTTTATTATCATATATATATACACTTTCTATCCTAAAATTCGCTTCTCTCGTGAAATTAATAATCTTCGTTAATAAATTGCGAGAAATTATTTGTTTATTTGATTAATTTATTAAGATATTTAAGCATAAAAAATATTGTATGAAAATGTTATAAATGTAACGTTGTCTATGTAAGATTTTTTTCATCATGTTGTTTTATTAATTTTACAGAAACCCATTTAGAAGAGGAAATGTCGAATGCCAATAAGTTTTACATGAAAAAAAGAAATCGAAAAATTCATTATATAACTGTCACGAACGAACAAAACATTTCTCTGACATTTAATATGTGATATAAAAAAGAAGAAAAAGGTAGACAGAGTGCTATCTTCTTGATATTTTGAATTATGTTATAAATGAAATGTATGAAAAATCATGTTCAAAAAAAAAAAATGAATCGGATTCGAAGTAGAAAAATATCACGATGGATAATAATATTTTAAGAATAAGAAGAGGAATAACGTTTCAAGTAGAGAATGAACCGTTCCACTATTACTCGTCGTGTAAAAAAAAAAGTAAAGAAAATGGGCAAATGGATTTCACGAGTTAAGCTTGTACGAAGGAACCATAACGAATGGAGATTGTCATCTTCAAGGAAATAAATGTGGATCAGAATACGAAATTTTACTTCTATCCTTACTCGTGGATTATCATTCAAAAATCTACAGAAAAATGAATTGTGTGTAAACTAAAGATATTTTTCATTTTTTTTTTATCCTTTTCATTTTGTGCAAAGTGGTAGTAGATCTTTAAGTATTCATAACACAAAGAGAGAAATCCAATGATATAAATGTTTTTGTGGGGCTCGTTTAACAATAGTTAATCACATGGATAATTTCGTTAATTCGAAACT